ATTATAATTAGTAAAAAATTTAAATTTGTATTATTTTTAATTGTTACTATATATAAAATTTATAAAATTAAAAATAATCTTTAAAATTAATATAAATTATAAAAATTAAAATAAAATAAATAAAATAAAAAAATAAAAATATTTAAAGTTTATTTTTTTATTAATATTTTATTAAGACTTATTTTTTATATTATAAATAAATAATAATAGATATTATAAATTAGTATTATTAAAATTAATTTATTTAAATTAAACTATTTAGATAAAATAAATATAAAAATTCAAGTATTTATTTTATTAAATTTAGATTTTTCTGAAAAAGTTATTCTAATTATAAAGTTAATACAAAAATTTTTATTAATTAAATTTATTTTTAATTAATAAAAATTTTTGTAATTAAAACAACTCTTTTAGAAAAATCTAAAAAAATATATATTAAACTATAACTAATAAACTTTATTTTGATATAAAAATAATAATTATTTCTTAATAAAAATATAAATTTTAATATAAAGAGAAAATGTCAATTTTTACTATGCTTTTATTAATAAGTTTAGTCTCTAATGCATTACTTATGATTACTATTATATAGGAAAAAGTTTTATTTTATATAATTAAAAGAAAAATATAAATATAAATATGAAATAAGATAAAAATCAAAACTATATTAAATAAAGAATAAAAAAAATATAAAATAATATTGTAAATTCAATATGAAAAATATAAATTTAATAGCAAAAAGAGAAGAGAAAGTTAATGATTTTTATAATAATTAGTTTATGCTATTTCAAATCATGAAAATACTGGCAATCATTAAGAGAATTTTTAGTTTTAAAACTATAAAATAAATAATTATATTCAGGAAATAAACTGAAAAACATTAGAATATCAGAATATATTTCTGAATTTCAAATGTTTTTTTTTAGTAAAAAGACCGGAATTAAGTTTTCTTTAAATTAATACATTATCAAACATTATTGTTGATGTGATGCAATGCAATTCATGCAATTCAATGAAAAAACAATTAACTCACATAAAAGATAAAACGGATTGTGCAGTTTTCGTATTTCACAACTTACTTGTTTGTGATGATTAGAAGGAAAAAAAATTTAGGCACGAAAGTCAAGTATATTGTTTCAACTTGTCCTGTTCTATGATTTTTACCAAATTGAGATGCCTGAAACCAGAAACCATCTAAACGTTTGCAATAAACAAATTTTGCAGCCCTTGTTATATACTCTATTAATTCCACTTCTTCGGACCAACTAAGATTTCGCACATCTGAATTTTGTTTCTTTGTTCTAATTTCGTGAACCAACAGCTTCAAGGGGAAGAACATATCTATCGGTGGCCAGAATGCTGTGAAAATGTATAGATGACAACAACAGTTTTGCGATGTAATGAATTCAGATGAACTTAATCAAACACGCATAATATTCAAGAAAGAGCGATATGAGCAAACTAAACAACCCCAAGATTATGTTGGGTTTTGATAAACTACAGCGTAAATGGGATTTTAACAACACAATTTTTGTATATGCAATTCTTTTAAATTTCCCCATTTTGTCAATAAGCCACGTGTAAATTTAAGTAATTTATTTTTTTGGATATATTACATTTTAGGTAATTCCCACAGAAAAAATAAAAATCGATTTAAAGGAGCGATAATGATAAGAATGCAATTTATAATGTACATACACGATGACTTTTTGTAAGAACATAACGATTAATATCCTTAACGTTAATGTATCCAGTCAGGAATTATCGTTATGCACCGAGCACAACGGCAATTCATTAATTTTAGTCACAGTTTTTTATTTACATGTGCTAGACCAAAACGGGCTATTAACAAAGAGACAAAAATCTGAGTGCATAATAACGATAATGGTAGATAATCTGTTAGCGTTAGTAAGAACTGTGTGGTTATTGTTACCATTGTTATTTATTGGCTATTCTGGAAGTCATTTACACACATTAACTTGCTACCTCGTGCTTTTTTTCGAAATAGAAAATAAACTCGAGTATTATTTAAACACAGTTATAGAAAGTTCATTAACGTTTCAAAATAAGGTAAAACCATACATAATTAATATACGTAATGAGAAATATGCTTTTTCGAGAATAATTGCAGATGGAATTGATACAAATGGTTGAAGAGATTGTGTTTACAACACATGGATAGAATTTTAATCTTGTTCTTCCAAAATGTCTATATATATGTGCGTGGCATCATGATTATTATTAGATACTCGTTCAACGTGAAAAGGTTGATGCTAACAGTCACCTTTCGATTCCAAAAATTTCTCAGATATGTTGTGTCACTACCAAGTTTTTTTATTATTGAAATAAAACCCGTCGTGGTAGCCGTCGCCGCGTTGCTGCTTTTTTGCTGTTGCTTTTCTCGTCTCTCTTCAGCATGAAAATATAGTAATAAGTCTATTTTTTTAATATTCATTTTCAGAATTTTCACAATTCTTTAAATTTCCTAAAAAAAGTAAAGTACGAGAACTTTTATGACTATGATATGTACTTGATATTTGGCCTAAAAATATTCCATATATAAACCCATCAGATATTCAAAAAAAAATCAAATATTCCGACAGTGGGCAAGAAAGAAAAAAAGAGGCTTCTTTTCTCTCTTCTTCTTTTTTTACCGTAATATCTATCTATCTATTCACCATTACGAAACACGTCAAAAAAAATCGTTAAAAAGATTAAAATATGGGCGGCGACTACCGCTTTGGCCGGTTTGACCAAATATGTTATGAGTCACCATTATCAATATGTAACGTATTCTTGAACGCGGACAAACCACGGTGTCAGTTGGAAGGATTCTCCGTGAACGAGACGCCCATACGAAACCTAGGTGCGCCGAAGTACTCGACAAAAAACTTATCTTGTGATTTTTCTCACGTGAAACTGCAAAGTTAGACGCGAGTTTACACTTTAGCGGTATTTCTTGGCTCTCACTCATAATAGTCATTACTTGTATAGTTTAGAATCATTTTTTGCTTAGACTATTGCGTTTTTTCCTTTATTTTCAATTTTTTATTATTTATTGTTTTATACGTTTCATGTTTTTCTCATATATTAAAAAATCAAATGTCAAATTATGCACAGGCGACATGATAATGGCATTCTTTGTTATTATATTTACAATTTTTATAATATGGAGAAGTTACTTAAAACGCGCTGCAGTAGGTGAGTAAATTTCAATTTGTTATTTATTCGATATTTACCTTAGTTAATAATATGATTATTGATAATTATAATAATAATTATATAGGACGAGCGGAGATGATCTTATTTTTTGTGACATATATATTGACACTCATGACTCAAATTGTTAGCGATGGAGGATTTCTTGGAAAAGGAACTACGTTAGCGGTAGGATTATAGACATTATATGTTCTATTCAAATTATTATGATACTTTCTGTTGAATATTATTTTTAAATATACTGATTTTTTTGATAAAGTGGTTTTCAGCAATAAATGCTGGGCTTGTTAGTGCTCTCTCTTGGATATTAGTGATGAATGCTATTGTAGGTTTGTATGAATTTTAATAGAGAGAGGACACCCTATGAACTTCACAATAATGATTGATTCTAATCAAATTATATACAAAAAGGTTTTCAATTAGTCGATGACGGATCCATAATATCAATGGGTGTAAGTTTATGACAAGATCAAAATATAATCTTCGATCTCCTATTTACTAAAGAAATAAAAATCTTGAATAATAGGGAATACTGCTTGGTGGTATTCTGATATTTTTCGGAGTCGGATACATAGCATTAGATACGGCATTCAACATCTCAGGACACTTTACATCCCAACCATCAGCACAAATGAAAAATGTCGCCCTCTACATAACGTATATAATATTCCCGCTATTTGCAGTGGTGGCATATGTTATTTTAGAGACGATTTTGGTAATTGTGGCCTTAGGTGATAAGCAATCTTTAGGCATGTTTATAAAAGACGAGAATAAGAGAGAGAGAGAAATATAGAGAGGGGGAGAGATAGAGAAGGAAAAGGATGGAATGGGAAAATGGTATCTTCAATTAATTAAATATTTATTTTATTTTATATATTTATGCAGTATATTTATATGCATCCTTTCTGAGCGCGATTGCTAGTCAGGTTTTCATATTTGCAATTAGCCCACATCTCTGTGAAGCCAGCTCGCAAATAATTGATGGATCATTGTTTTGCACGCTTTTTGTCTTTCTCGCAGTATTTCTACTGTATAAGTATTGGTCAAGTATTACCGAGGGTTAGTAGTGATGATGTATTGTATGGTTAATTCTTTTGCTTTATTGTTATGACGATGATGATAATTATTGAATTATTTATTATTAAAGATGTATGGGAAGAATACGATTACTTCAATCCCGAAACACTACTAGCAGATATATTATCACCACCCCCACTTTACACTCGCCCAGAACAACCACCGGAAATGGGTATTGCCCCGATAGGTGGAGCTACAACCACGATTTTAGAACAGCATGAATCCAAATCAGTATCATCGAATGAAAATGAAGAGGGATCAATATCTTCTATTTCGACAGTGACTGACGATATTAATAATGAGCCACCATCGTCTCCTCCGTCTCCACC